TGCGACCGTAGTCGGCTAGCACGTCACCACGCGGCATGTAGCTGGTCTCGAAGAACACCTGCATGCGGATCAGCTGTCCGGCGGGCGAGTCTCGGGCTGTCAGACGACGAACGCAGAGCGCCACCAGACGGTCGCCGTCCGGCTCACTGCGCATGTTCTCCAGGAGGCAGCCGTGGCGCGGGTCGAGCACCACAGCCTTGATGGTGAAGGCAGCTAGTGTCTCTGACACCAACGTGCCCGTTCTCTGACATTCGGTGGAGATCTTCTTGATGATGCGCCGGATGATCTCCTCAATGGGAGTGGCCTGGGTGGGGTCCGGGGAGTTCATCGCTGCAGAGTTGCTGTGAGCTCTTGACCGTCAGAATAGAGTATTGATAGTGCCTCACACAACTGACGACCAGTTGGACAAAGACGCTAATGCTGTCTTTGTAATTTCTGTGTGTATCTTTTCGTTGAGAGATCAAACACGGGATTTTCATCCAAGTTTCTGGATCGCTGACGCACTCGAGTTCATTGCCTGCCTACAGCCAACTTGCATTTGGGAAAACCGGCTTAGTACAGATGAGGCCCTAGCATTTTACGCTGAGCTGTTTTGATGGAACGACTGAAATGGCTAAGCTCCTCTTCTTTTAATAGGTCCGCTCAAGGCCCGCTATTTTCTCAAAATCTGATTGAAATTAAAGGTATTCTATGCCTAGATCGTGACGCGTATTCATTGGTGCTTGCAGCTATAGATTTTCATTTTCACTTACGCCTGTTTTAGGTTACGTTTAGTATTTTCCTGTTTCAACTAGATGAAGAACAATTATATGCGAAAAACTAAAAGGTTGTTCTACCTCTCTTCTCAAGAGCATCGTCTTGACCTTACCTCGTACCTAATTTTCACAGACGTGGCACAGTACCTGCGCCAAAAATGTGGCACTGTCTGTTGTCATTCACTTGAAATGTTTGCGGAATTTCAGAGATGAAGCCAGTGAGTTGGCCGGTGGGGGATAAAAGGCACTCGCCGTGAGGCGTGAGCGCAGCGCATTTAAAGTAAATAAGAGCTGATAATGCTCTTTGCAGTAATGCGTGGCACATTTTTTGCAGCACTGTATCTTTAGTCATTTCGAGACTCGTTAGCTAAGGAATTGTGTGTCGCATCGCATTAATCTTATATGCAAATGGGATGCACAATTCGCATTGTAACTTGGATCTCGCAATCATTTGGGAACTGCCTGTTACATTGCTTTCCGCTAGTTCGTTCCACTTCGGAATGGCCGCCAGCGTTAATCTCTAGTGACGGTAGAAATGGGAAACGAACAACGTGTACCACCATGTTCGCCCGGGTTATTACAGGCTCATCTTTTATCAACAGGATTATCAATGTTCACAGACATTTCCCAGAATCGAACTCATAAGTCAACCACACGCGACCAACAGCACTCGTGAGACTCATCCGACCCCATCCATCACTCTTTGAGTTTCCCCGATGTAAGGACTTTCCGAGAGCTCTTTGAGTTCCCGCGCTCAAAGCTACAGGGAGTTGAGTTTTAGAGCTGCTGATCGCGGGGACTCGGTCTGATTAGGTTAAGGGAGCACCCGCGCTGTCCAATGGTACTTTTGTCCTAGCGCTGCCTGGTGTGACGGTCTGGAAGTAAAGTCACAATCCCCCGGGCCCGCTGACACTGACACATGGGCCAGACATTTTTGTGTTTATTGCAGTCTCCAAATGATGTCGTTAGTTTTGCTGACGGGTCGACTGCAGCTTTTAGCTCAAACATACACGAATTGCTCCTATTCTGCCCACCGAATAGTGTTCATTCTTCTGACCTGATTGCCAAAAACAGGCCGGTATTTCATATAGTGAACCCGAAGGTGTTAAATTGTTCATACCTTTCGCCCGAAGTTGCCACAACAAGCCAATATATCCTACACAATACGCTTGTTGTGTTCCCCTCGCCCTCGCCGGTCGTACAACATTCCAAATCGCGCTCACTGCTCCTGGCCGACTGTCGCATTTGGCGTCGGAGGCGTGACCTCAAATCGATACAGCCCGGGCTTACCATTGTGTTTTCCGCGCACTCGAGCGAGGCCCCCACTTTGTGTGGAGCGCTGTGTGGACTGGCTACTGTCGCCGACCGGGGGGGTTCCCACGCCGGTGGGGCTGCTCAGACCGACTGGTGTCGTTGACAGCTGGACACGGACACTGGACACGGACACTGGACACGGACACTGGACACGGACACCAGGGCGTGGGAGTAGGCGTGGGAGTGGACACACCCAGTAACGGACACAGGCGGATGGAGGCCAGTGGATGAGGCCGGCGAGCCAGCTCCTTCAGATTCCCGCACTCTTATGCAGCTCTGGATGTCTAGTCACTTACCCGAAAAAGCATGCAAGCGAGGCAAGTAAAATAAAATAGTTAAACAAAATAGAATCAAATAAAGTCAAAGCACAAACGGTGCAGCGCTAGTTGACAGCATCCACCTTTTAATAAACTCGAAATTTAAAGCTTATGGTTGAAGCTGGACAATGGACATGGATGTGAAATAAAGTCATCTGAACCTGTTAGTACCTACTACAATCATGCCTTAACCACAGAATAAGAACGAACTTGTTTCTGAAAGCAATAGCTAGAAGGGAGAGGAGTTCGATTGGTCTGGAAATCTGTGGATATTGCATATAAGGCTGGCCCGATTATAGTTCGGCAGTATCACCATCGTACCAACGTATACGGTATTTGACGACTTTTTGGCAAACAAGGCATTTGATAAATATTAACGCTGGGAGGTTGTCCTTGAAGTTCCACTCCCTAGACATCGTGCACCCAGCATGCAACATTATGTTGGCTTAAGTCAGGAAGCTTGATGGCAGGCCCCTGCACGTGAGTCAAAGATTGTCAAACTTTAGCGAGTGTCCCACACTGGTCGATAGTCATAAAAGCAAGAAGTGTGCCGTGTCGCCTTTGCAATGTTTGTTCACTGCTAACAGGCATGCAAGACTTGTTGTTATTCTGCTCGAAGTCAGCATTAAAGAGGAACATCAAACATCATTGCAATGTTGATCACGTTAGCCCATTTGTCTTATCTGTTTCAGAGGCCCACTTATTGTCATTTAGCTCACAGACAGGAGGCGTCGGGTCGACGGGTCTAGTCCGTACTCCGTGCTGTAAAAACGCGTTGAATATTGCAAATTAAGTACGCGAATGTAGCAGAGTCGTTTTTGTTATTGATCTGAGGCCCGTTGGGAACCAGTCACTTTTTTTGCTTTGTTGTTTTGAATTACCAGACTTCGAGCCCGGACGTATGGAAGCTTAGCAAGATACAACATATAAACAATCTCGGAGACCCTGTTTTGATTGAAATGATATAGCGTCTGTCCAAATACATCTTTTAATCCATGGCGCTCGCCCCGAACTATTATTATCGACCGAATTGCCAGTTGCCTTCTCTCGGGACTGGCTGATTGGATTTCTCCCGAGACCGAATGTGGTTACAGGCAGCGGGCTGAGTCCACATGAACCCAGCTCAATGACTGACCTACGTTTTATGTAAATACTTCTTTCTCATGATTTTTTTTGTGATTGCGCCTTCTATGGAAATCCAAAAAAGAAGCGCAAGATTACAGCTTATCGGCGGTAGTTGTTTGAGTATTGAGTAGCCTGTGAGACTGTAAGGTTTGCTCAGCTTAGACGTTATCTTATTTTCAAATGCATTCAATTGTCTTTTCGTATGGCAATGCGAAAACGTGCACTGGTTGCAGCTCCTTAATTTGATCAGACGCATCACGGGGCACGATCGCACGAGCACCCGTCCGAAATTAATGGTCACCACTGAACCGGACGGGTCGTCCTCGGCTCCCACAGCCGCGTCATTTCCGAGACCAGCGCGAACAGCAGCCCCTCACGCGTGCTCTCAGCTCGCAAAGCTCGAGTTAGTTCGACTCAGTGAGAGCTCGACAATCTTCCATAGTCGAGCTGTGAGACGCGACGAGCCTCATCCCAGCTATCGAAATTCATCGGGGCTTCATCTGAGCTGTCGAAATTCATCTGAGCTTGTAAAGCTCAATGGGGACGGTGGTTGGTACAGAACATCAAAGGAATCCATTTTATATCATAGGGATTTAAGCCTCTTCACTGCAGAGCCCAGCTTTCATTCCACTCTGACGCTCGTAAAAAACGCGACATAATCTCTCGGATGAGTGCTGCCGATACGTATATAAGGCATCAGCTTAGTTACGAAAACGTCACACGATGATCCGACAACGTTCTAACCAAACGAGGATGGGTAGGCATGATAGCTTTCACATTCGATGATAGGATAATGTTGAAATTCGTGATGTATGAGGCAGTTTTTACATAAGGTATGTTCTATGTGTCATAGGTTTTTGTTAATTTGATAACATCGTTTCCCCATAAAAGGTTATATCCGTGCGGGAACCGATGTCAAAATCCTTTTTTGACAGTGCTACCTAAAAATGTCTGGGTTGTCTCAAGGATCTCAGAAAGAACGGCACGGAAATGTTTTCGCTCGTCAGAAGTCACTATACCGGTCCATTTTGTTTGTAGGTACTCGCAGCCTGTCAGCTATCATTTATTATTTCTCCGTATGTCCAAAGGTGCCATCTGTCCCTGCTAAAAGCCACAGTGGATGACAATGGAAACTTGAAATAATGGCGGTCATAAAGTTTCGGTCAATGGAAAGGAGTGCGATGGATAATTAAGAAAGAAAAGAAAGAAATGTGTATGCACCAGCTGGGCACTTCTACAAGGTACCTACCCAGGATTAATATACCCTAGGCCCTAGCTACTGCGCCAATGTATACAATCAGTAATTACCAGCCGTCACCAAAGCTCCATCTTGGCATTAGTTTATATCACCTGTCCTGTGTCCTGCGTCCCGGTGCACACTAGTTGGATGCATCTCTCCAACATCGGCCCACATGGCAGATGCTGATTGTCGAACATTCACTCCTTACTGTCAGCGTTCTGACCGCTGCACCACCTTCTCCACCGGCAGACTATGAGTTGGAGGACTTCGAGGGCGACCGGAGGTACCGACCGCGAGACGTGGCCTCCCTCTCTGCCGACACGCACTTCTCACCTCACGAGGTCAAACGGATCTACCGCGGCTTCAAGGTCGAGTGCCCGATGGGAGTGCTTGGAGAGGAGGACTTCAAAGACATCTACTCACGCTTCTTCCCTCAGCAGTGTAAGGGCATGGGAATGGGGATGTGGGTTGAGAGGCGGGTCCCACATTCACCTTTTTTACCATGCAACGACTAAAGACAAGAAGTTTGATAGGCAGTTGTTTCAGACCTACACATTCACCAAAGAAACTACGATAATACCTATGGTAATGCTAAAAGGCTGTGATAACTACCGTGGATCATATGTTTGTGTAAAGCTAAGCACTACCATTTTTTCTTTTTCAGCGAACACTGGATTGTACGCCCATTATGTCTTCAATACGTTCGACATTAATTCGACCGACCGCGTCATCAATTTTGAGGTGGGTTTATGAACGTAACGTACGCCTATTACTCAATACTCATGATCCCTTACGTATCTACTTACCTAAATATTTTGCTTTTCATCACTTATTGAGTTAAATTTCTAACTTAATTTTGTTGAAAGTTTGAAAGTACCATTCGGCCTTCAATCAACTAGCATGCAATATACACAAAGCACGCTTCGGGCTCAGCTTTGTCGAGCTGGCATTCATTTTCAAAGCATTTCGGCATTCTGTATCAGCTGTTTTAGACACTTCTATCGTGAGACTTCTGAGACTTGCCCTCTATACTTCGGTCAGGAGTTCCTCAAGTGGCTGTCGCGGCTGTGTCGCGGCACAGTACAGCCTCTGACAGTGATCTGTCCGCAGGAGTTTCTCAAGTGGCTGTCGCGGCTGTGTCGTGGCACGGCGGAGGAGAAGCTGCGATGGATGTTCCGGCTGTACGACATCAATAACGACGGCCGGATCACGCGCGGCGAGATGACCTCGGTCTTCATCAGCATCTACGCCCTGCTCGGGGGCGTCAGTCTGAGCTTGCTTCAGGAGGACTCGGCTGTCGCCGGCAGGGTCGACCAAGTCTTTCAGGTGGGTAGTCACCGGCCAAACTGTCGCCATAACTTTCAGCCAAAGCTGAAAGCCGAAAGGGTATTGAAGTGAATTGGAGCGAACGCCATATGGCTCCGTTTACAGTTAAATCGTTAAACATGCTCACGTTTGCAGTATTCGCCATCCCATATTCATTGTTCATTGCTGTGGCTGAATGGAGGCGCCTGAAAACAGCTGAAACGGCTCCTTTCAACCGAAATATTACATTATCTCTCACTGGCTCTGAAAAGTGAGGACTACCGACTGGATGAAAGGCTTTGGATAAAACGGCGTCAAAGGCTAGGACATATAAAAATGAAAAAATAATTATAGCTTGCAGGAACACTTTTTAACACACTAGTCATCTATCTTTTTGCAGGTTTGAATTTAAACATTTTATATACCTGGATAATGGACACATTTTCCGTCTTTAGCTACTATGTAAAAGCATAACTGCATTGTGCGTTGTGCTCATGTTAGTTCTCCGCTAGTCACTGAACATCAGTTGGTAATTCCATAACGCAACTTTTCAGTTAACAGACACTTCCAAGTTCCATAATTTGAAGCGGTAGCAGTTTTGCCGTCAGAATGATGTGGAATTTCATCAATCATGAAGCCCGCCGTTGTTTTCACTGTAAAAAATATGGCGGCAACTGCTGTAGACCGCCGTGTTTACTTCTCCGTCGTCCACTCAACGCTAATGAAGATAAATGCGTCTGGCTTTCGCTCTAGCATCAGAGACCTGTGAAACTAACTAGCTGGACTTGGGGATAGCGATTTGGTAAGGCTCATAATCTGTCTGCCTGTGTCGGGTAACAAACATGTTAAGTGTGACAGACTCCATTGCTATAACGTTATTTTATTTCCGCTATCTGCAATGAAGGAATGTTTATTTAAATCCCTGCCAACTGGCGCACTGTTATGACCGTGCAGTCACCACCATCAGTTTCTCTCGCTCACCCCTCTCGCCCTCTCCGCGTTAGTCCGAGTATGAGCGGGTCCTCCCGCGCCGGCGGCTGTGGCCGGGCTCCTGTCGATGGTGCCGCCGCCACTGTTCCGACACCGTTTGGCCATCAGACTATGATCACCCGCCATTGGCCGGGGCTGTACCCATTTCCCGGGCCACGGGGCGGACGACGCCAGCGTCCGGAGCCACGGGGGGCGGGCGGTCCAACGCGACGGGCGGCAGAGCCGGCGGTGACACGGGGGGGGGGGGCGACACAGGCCCCGACCCGACACTATTGTCAGTTGAATTGTTAGGACGCTCCTAATACCGAGCCTATTTATGCATAATGTCAAACTTGTGTACCAGAAAACCATCAAGAGATTTACCTACATAGAATAGCACGCAATTCAACATCACCACTATATTGTTCTGCTGTTTACACTCTGGAAGCAGCAATCAGCGGTCTGTGGTATGATATCAGGCGGTGTGGTGGGATGCCTCAAATCCAACAAATAGCATTACCTACTTGAAGCGGCGGCAGCATTCCAGCCAGGCGCGGTACGCGGTCGATAGTGCTGCGCTGCGCGCCGCCTCCGCCGCCGCGGAGGCCGGCTGTCCCGCCGAGCACCGGATCATTGCGGCACAGTATCGGCTGCGCGGCAGGCGATAGGCGCCGCGACTAAAGCCGGGATATTAAATTGCGTAGGGGATTTAAGATTTTAGCATTGATTGTTGTACTTCTGCTGTAAAGCTTTGGTTTTCGCTCGATCATAGATAACATGATTCATGTTATCTATGACTTGGTACATTTAATTACAATTGAGTATTTCGAGAGAGATAATAACGAAACTGCGAATTGGTTCCACCTAATTCGCTGAACCGTTTAGTCATTTCTTAACAAACTGTGTCGGATTGTATCGAAAAAAGCTCATTTTCGAGTCTCGACAATTACTAAATGCATTAACCCTATACGTATTAGCCTCTATTAGCCGTTGAAAGACGACGTTTACCTATCTGTCTGAATCTGAAGCCCCTGACCTGCTGTGCCCACAGAGGATGGATCTGAACGGAGACGGCGTGGTGACGGTGGACGAGTTCCTCGAGTTCTGCTCCTCGGACCCGACCATGATGAGCTCGCTGGCGCAGCTGGCCACTGTTCTCTGAGAGGAACTGGCCCCGGTCCTCTGAAGAACCGAGGAGGACCTACAACGAGCAAACTCCCGCTGAGGGAAGCCCAAAGTCGGCTGCAGTCCTCTGAGAGGAGCTGACCAGCGTCCTCTGAGGAGTCGAGGAGGACCTTCAATGAGCAGACGTCCTCTGAGGGAGCTGAGACCGACACCATCCTCTGATGAATCGAGGTGTAGCTGCAACGAGCCAACCTCCTCTGCGGGAAACCCGAATTCGGTCACAGTCCTCTGATGGACGCTGCGGCGAACACAGTCCTCGTATAGAGGCCGATTACATATATCAGTGCCCACGCTGATTAGGCTGGCGTGGCCCGATCGCATCACGCAGTGCTCTGTGACGCACAGTGACGCTTCGTGACATCCCGTGACGTTTCATGCTGCTCCGTGACGCACCGTGATCCACCGTCGCATTGCGTGTCGCCGTTGCGTGTGTTGGACCAGTGATACCTCCTCGCTCCTATGGGAAGGTGGTGGATGACAGGAAAACTGTAACTGCGTGACGCTGGCAGGAGGCGCTTCCAGACAATGTTCTCGTCCATCCCAAACAGTGAACCTACCAGTGGACAGAGGCATTGCCGGCCAGTGGCCACCCATCGCCGTCATGCTCCGAGCGCTGCCGTTAGAGCTGGCCGGCCCCTGACGGCCGTCGGCGTGCGGTAACGAGCGGTCGGTGATCACGACCCGTTCACGGCACGTCGCTTGTCGGGCGCGGCCGTCACCTGCCTCCGATCGAGACAAACGACCACTCACGATCGTCGTCGGTCGTCGACGAGCGTCCATAGCGCCTGCCGGTCCCGACATCGGCACCTCGTCTGTCCGCCGAATGGGTCCGATCAGAGGCGAGGAGCGGTGACGAGCGGTACGGGACGAGGTGCAGGGAGGTAGCAGAAATGGGAGAGAGAGAGAGAGAGAGAGAGAGAGAGAGAGAGAGAGAGAGAGAGAGAGAGAGAGAGAGAGAGAGAGAGAGAGAGAGAGAGGTGGTAGCAGACAGACGGAGAAACAGTGAGACAGAGACATCATAAAGACAGAGACCGGTAGAGGAGAGAGAGAGAGAGAGAGAGAGAGAGAGAGAGAGAGAGAGAGAGAGAGAGGGAGAGGGAGAGAGAGAGGGAGATAAAGAGTTAGAAGTGAGAGGAAGATAATTTAATGAGGTAGTACTAGTAGATGAATGGCTGTGTAATGTGCGCGAAGGTTTTATCAGGCATATCGCTTCTTGATTCGGCGATGAGTATCCCTATGTAGATGTTGTCGATCGCACTGTTTACGCGGACAAAACGAAATGACCAACCGCTCAAGACAGATCGGGAGCCTGTGTGAGGTTTTGTCGCGTTCAAAGGACATTTAATGCCTTCATGAGGTGAAGGGACTGTGCTTTATGATGCCAGATGGTTGTGTGATAGCCGATTTGTTTTGATGTGTCGTGTCCAGTCTGATGAGGGATTTCTGCGTCGCTCGGTGAGCTGCACTGACGTGGTTCTACCTGATCACCGTCTTTAGGCCGTCCTTTGGGGCAGGCAGACCGGTGCATTTGTTCTGTGAAGGAGGATTGACGATTGCTGGAAGTTTTATAGTGTGCCTCAGATGTCTGAGGTACTCGGGCAGCGTTTGTGACAGTTTGGCCGTCAGCGCTACACTTATGACCGTTCGCTGTCGCATGTGACATGTGACATCTGAGCACTGCACCCACACCGAATCAGATAACGCCGGCACCGAACGTCTAATCATAATTAGTGTTCCGTGTAGCGCCGTATTGGTCATCGTGCAACTTACAGTCATCATTGCATCGATGTTCTTTGTCATGTCATTGCTTTGTCGCCGTTATGTCTTAAATAAAATTTATTGTGTCATTGACATGATTAGCGAGTTTGAAAGGTTTCAGTGAAAAGGGTAAGTAGGTTCATACCGCATAACGGACAAACAGAGCCCAGAGGGATTTCAGCGTCGGTCTTCAGAGAGCACTGAGGCAGAGTAGTGCAGCGATACCGGAGACGGAGCAGGGAGCCGGAGAGGCGATTAGCCAATCCCGACCGGAGTCTGTCCTGACCCCGCCGCCCCCGGCACAGCCGAGTGGTCCGACAGACGAGCAGAACACAGATGGAGAGAGTGAAAGGAGATGGTAGAGAGAAATGGTAGAAAATAGAAGGAAGGGAGGAGGAGAGGGAGTGGAGGACGAGGAGAGAGAGAGAGAGAGAGAGGGGAGGGGAAGAGATAGAGAGAGAGAGATAGAGAGAGAGAGAGAGAGAGAGAG